ATAGTAACAAAGGCGGGTATATACATGCATGCTACATACAGACACACATACATCCATGCAAGCATACATACATATGTGCTTGCTTCCTTGTCTTCCTACCCAGGTACCTGCCTGCCCCGACAGACACACAGATAGACTGGCTGACCAGGCTGACAAACGTGTTGGGCACCTGAGCAGCCGACCCACTCGAGCACGGCACGCATGTCCCACTGCATTGTAGTCGGCTCCCCAACGATGAAGCAGCCTCTATTTATTTACAGAGCTTTCGGTAAGCCAAGTCATGTTATAGGGATCTCTCGGCATTTGAAAGACTATTCAGAGGAGTACACATAAAAATATAAACAGATAAACGCATTGTGTACATATAAATATATATATATATATATATATATATATATACATACACCGGGATAGGTATACATGTACATATATATATATATATATATATATATATTTATATATATATATATATTATATATATATGCATATGCTCATATATATATATATGTATGCAAGGGAGAATGCTCTAAACACTCAAGCCCTGAGGCTGGGTTCCCGAAAAAACCTGAAACCCTCATATACCAGAAGAGTGGAAAAGACCCTATTTAGGGAACAGGGAGTTCGGGGTTAACCCCAAACTCTAAACCCTACTCGGGGCTTAAAACCATAAGCCTTCAATCATAGTTAAACTAAACTAAACCCTCACCCGTAAACCAACGAACTTTAGGGATTAGGTGAAACTCCCGCATAACCTAAAACAGACCCAGGTCCGGTCTCCTCCACCAAAGAGATTTGACTGGGACACGTGGGACGCAAACCACGCAGAGGCCCCCTAGATACAGTCCCAAAGGGTCCTAGTACTGTTATCGGGAGACTGGGCTGTAAACCGAAAACGACACGCGATCAACAGTCCTAACTGCCCTGACCCTGACCCTAAACCCTTCCTGAAGCCACAAAAACCTACCTTGAATCGAAACGAAGCATAATTAAGCACGGGACTTGCTTCACGGCTAAGCCACAATAATGCGGTAAACTCGGAACTCCTAAACCCGCAAACCCCGGTTTATTGTCTAGTTTTGTGGTAGGACGGAAAGTTGACTTTAGAGGGTTCAGGGTTTATCCAATATAGGGCATTCACATTACAGTAGGAGTTTGAGGTAAATTATGCCATAGTTATAGTACGGAACCGCAGAATAACTTCGGTAATGATTGAGTCCCCTATCAGTCCCGATACCTACAAGTTACCTTGAAGAAATCAGTTGTTTTTCAGGTGCCTGTTGGGATTCAACCACCCTAAGCCTAAATCCTAAACCAATGCTGGACACTACACTAACCCGTATAAAACCCCTTATGCTGACCCCTATAGAATCATGCACAGTCCCAAAACTTATACAAGCCCTTATGCTGACCCATCCTTCTGGTACGTTGGCGCCTTCCGGATAGAGTACGCCACCGGCCAACTTCTCAGACAAGGAGAACTGGAATCTGCACTTGAAGGCGTCCTTCGAAAGGACTGTTCCCAAAGGGTCCGAGGCACTGGTATGGGAGATACTTACCCACATGATAGCAATGATTTCCAATATAGAAACGCTGCATTCTGCCCTATAGGTACTCAAGACCCTTTGGAGCTGTGGGTTTAGGTTTAGATTAAGGGGTCAAGGCTTTTGTTTCATAGATCATTAAACGGCTTGCATGTAAACGCATCCTTCGACTTGAATAGTCTTGTGATTCAGAATTGTTTTGTTTTTAGGTTTAGGGTTTCTGGTCTGGGGCTTCGGGTTTAGGGATGTAGAAGGTGTTACTATTTCTAAAGGTTTAAATTAGGATGCTATAATGTATGGTATCCAATTGTATAGGCTGCTTTGGCATGACGGCTTTGTGTGTCGGTGTTGCCATGCCCACCGTCATTTTGGGTTGTTAGCATACCACTATAATACACGGTAACTCAGAGATCCCAATGCTCTACCTCACGTTGAGCATCTCTCTGAAAGTCTTCAAGGAACCTTGCTTGAGTAAGCTTGCTTGGAAGTCGTTTGGTAGTCGGGGGGGCTTCGGAGTTTCGGGTTTAGACTATTGTGTTCTTCTTTTCTTACGGCTGATGGGGTTTATCAGGCGGGCTTTGTTTATCACCACGAGAGCGCTTCCTCAAGACACGCGCGTGCCACTGACATAGCATGCCCAAATTCCGCTCTGCTTGCGATCGTGCACCGAATTCAGACATGCTTCAACTACCCTAAACCCTACCCCTCAACTCCACAGCCCTTAAGCCCCGAGCCCGCTAAACCCTATAAAACCTGCCCTGCGACCCAGAAACTCGAAATATATACTGTACTTTAAGTAGAGCCGCTTAATTCTAGGGCGTCCCTTATTAGTCCATGTATATATGAGTACGTGGACCCTTCTGCCCTGAACCCCGAACCCTTATAGTGCCCGTAACAGATCAAAGAGAGTCCATCCATAAAACCTGCCAGTGTGGAATCAGGCCCCGTGGCTTTGGGGGGGCCTGATTCTAGAGTAGTGGTGGTAGTAGTAGTAGTCGTCGTCGTCGTAGTATGCATATATATATATATATGCATATATATATCTGCATATATATATATAGATATATAAACCCTCTTGGTAAGGGAGCTTTTAAAAGAACCCCATTTAGCAGACTCCCCTTAGACTTAGAGGGATCAAGGAGCCCGAGGATGCCAGTCCTTGCAGTTCTTGGCTCTGTCCAACTTCCGGTTGATGGTGGTGTACCTGCCCAAACCCCACTTGGAAGGGCAGGGGACTTAGTAAGTAGGTTATAAGTAAAGTTATAAGTACCCTAAATAGAGTTACCCCAATTATAACCCTACTTATAACCTACTTACTAAGTCCCCTGCCCCTCCAAGCAAGGGCCCAAAGGACCCGATAACAAGGTACTTGGGTTTAGGATGGTAGTTATGTAGGTTCATATTTGGGAGAGTAAAGGAGCTTGGACCCTTCCCTAAACCCTAAACCCCTAAACCCTAAACCCTGGTGACAGGGTCCAAAGTACCTTTGAGCTGCCTTGGGTGCTAGTCGCATCCCGTTGGCGACGCCAACTTGGCCTATAGCGAGATCTACCTTAACCCTGAAGAACCTACCTTTTTTAGGAAGGTAATACTTCGGACCAGCCGTCTCAAGAACCTATTTTGTAGAACGTAGCGTTTCTGTGGTATACGGCATCCCTACAGAACCGCTCCGGGGCCTGTGTTTTGTGAAAAGCTGTGTTATGTAGTTGTACATGAGTTCGATAACGAGAATAACCTTCGTGGGACAAGCCGGCTCAACGGCATCATCTTCTCCGGAATCTGCAATTGCACCTGTTATTCTCCCAAAGTTTCTAGTTTCACGACCCGAAATCCTACACCCTAAACCCTGTAAAGCCTAAACCCTATAAACCCTATAAACCCTGAACCGCGTGACCGTAAAGACCTGAAGCGGCCCACCCGTCTTTCTCGATCTTCACCGTCAGATCACGAGCTTCACTGGAGAACCTGGCTCGAGCTTTTGAACCAAGGCTCTTAGGACTCATTTAAAGGGATCTTAAAGGGGTTCTTAAGGGTTCCTTTAAGGGGATCTACAACTCTAAGGCTCTAAGGACTCATTTAAAGGGATCTTACAGGGATTCTTAAGGGTTCCGTTAAGGGGATCTATAACTCTAAGGCGCTAAGGACTCATATTTTAAGGCTTTGGGGCCTAAAGACCATATTACACGAGGCGTTCGGGCCATTTTGAGCCTTACTTTGCTATATAAGGAACCTAACCATATAACTAGGTACCCTAAAAAACAGGGGTAGGGTATGACCACCCTGATATAGTACCCTAACTAGTAGGATCCTTATATGAAGCTTTCGGGCCATTTTGGGCCTTTGGGGGAGATTGAGGGCTTCATTGTTTTCAGGGCCTTGGGGGTTTTGGGGCTTAAGGTTCGGGGTTTCGGGGTTTTGGTGTTTAAGGTTCGGGGTTTCGGGGTTTTGGGTTTAAGGTTCGGGGTTTCGGGGTTTTGGGTTTACGGTTCGGGGTTTCGGGGCCTGAGGGGTTGATATAGCGAGCACCCCTCCGGAGCCGGTGTAGACCAAAAACGCCCAAACCTGAACACACAACCCTGACCCCAAACCCTAAACCCTACACCCTAAAGCCTATAAACCCTATAAGCCCCATAAGCCCTATAGGCCCTATAAACCCTAAACCCTCAAGCCCCAAAACATGGCTCGAGAGCTCCACCGAGAAGTCCGACACTGGGGAATCCTTGGTGTTCAGCACCTGGATCTCACGGAGCCTGGGCGCGTAAGAGCGGGTTTAGAGTTTAGAGTGCGGGGCTTGGGGTTTTAGTGTTACGGGGTTCCAGGTGAACTTCGTAAGTTTGCTATAAGTAGGTGGTTCTTATTAGAATGATCCTACTTGGAGGATCATGGGACTTAGTAACTAGGGTTATAAATAAGGTAACTATACTGATAACGCCACTTAGGGTACGTATAACCTCACTTACTAAGTCCCATGATCCTCCAAGTAGTCAATCACTTGCAGTTGGAACATCCTTCTAGAAGACTAGGATACCCAGTAACCTAAGAATAAAAAGGCCTCTCTTTTTGGTATTGGGTAACTTTATAAGGAACCCAAGACTACAAAAAGGGAATAAGGGTACTACTGGGCATCCTAGAAGAACCCGGACCTGAAAACTAAGTTTCGTGGGAGTGAAGTTCGAGAGGAACTACAGGGGGCCTAGGACATACGGTTCTATGGTACCAATATGTATATGTACATGTACATGTACATGCGGATGTATGAATGTATGCACGTATGTAAACATGTACGGATGTGTACATATATATATATATATGTATATACCTGTAAAACCCTTGTGTCCAGAATTTCGGCCGCATCCGGCCAAAGGGGTTTCTGCTTGAGCTCAGGCGGGTTTATGCAGGCAACGGCGGGAGTGTATATTCGGAGGCTGATTTGTACAAATCCGTGTTTGCAGCTGTTTCATGATCACAATCCGAGCCTTGACGGCTCTTGGACATCGTCGAGAGGTGCGACCCCCGCCATTTTGCATTGAGTTGTGCATTGAAGCACTGTGCTTGGTGCTGCTGGGTTGAGCTCGAGGTTTGAACGATCAATTAGAGTTTGGGCTCAAGTTTGAAAGAAGATTTTCTGAGCTCATGTCGGAGCTTCCATTGCCGTTGGAAGCATTCGATGAGTTGAAGTCAGCAGGACCCAGCCACAAATCAAGTTCATTTCCGAATGCATAAAACCATGATCCTGTTCAGATTCATTCTGCTTCCCTTGTGGCTTAGGACTTCACGAGATGCCCTTGCCCTGGTTCCACCAGGTGCAGTGTGTCCTTTGGCCCGAGAAAGCCACCCCGCATGCCGCTTCCATGCACTAGACAACACTGTTGCTCATGACTAACCCAATGCTGTTGAGGACATTCTCACGAGCGAGGAGGTGTCCGTGATCTGTGAAAACTACCGCAGGGGTGGTTCGGTGCGAGAGTTGGCCAAGAAATTTTGGGAAGCCCAAGCAGCGGTCAGACCCTGGGCTTCCATACGGGTTTGGGTATTTCGATTGTGGGCTACGTTTCAATCTTGAGATGGCCACTAGACTCAGGAATCAGTGGAGAAGTGCAGACACCGGACAAGGTGAAGAATTCTGAAGCTGAGGGCTAGGGAAAGGCTTTTGTGCTGATCAGGATCGTGTCGTATGACAACTGCAAACCGAGCTACAACACAATAGGATCATGTAGGAGCTGCTAGTATCCGATCAGCCAGAAATGTTCTAGCTGTGCTGTGCCCGGCTGTGGATTCCAAGAATGGCTGCCTGGATAAAAAGATCCGTTTCCAATCAATTATTTCTTCGAGCTGTCTTATGGTGGCAGTTTGCCTGGACTCTTTCTGGGGACAGGCTCCTAGCGATGTGGCGGCGGTGTCCTCCCATGTGCATTTAGAAGGGCGGTGAACTGAGCATGCAGAATCCCGGGACACTGTGGGTTGATGGGTTCTTTCGGGTTGGTTTTCCTAATCATCGTCGCCCAGGTGGGCTGCTATGTGGTGCCAGAAGCACTTGGATCCGCGATGCCATTGGTTGGTGCCCCATCACGGCTTCAGCTAGATCCATGAGAACTTTTTTGATTCTCGTGAGGTTCACGATGCTGGATTGTTGCACACTGGATTCCACAAGGCCTTTCTTCTAGGCATAGAATATTTCCTTTGTTTGTTCTCCGGACAGGTGGCTCGGCGAGGGCAAGATCAGCTAGTGCCCCGCATGCAGCCGCCCCTCTGTGCTCTTATGCAGGGTTTGAGTTCCGAGGTTTAGGGGGGCTTGGGATTGAGATTTTAGTAGCTCGTTACATTCGCTGAGGTTCTAAAACTTACGGGCTAAGTTAATAGATGTTTTATAGGCACAGGGCTTAGGGCTGAAGGGTTTTGGGAGTCGCATTATTGCAATTGTGCATGAAGCAGATGCAACCTCGGCAGGCTTTTTCTGCTGAAGCAGTCTCAAGTAGGACTGACACGTCATGGCTGACAACCACGTGCCGACGACGCCGCCTCCGAAGAGAAGTAGGAGGAGGAGGGTTGCTGATCTTTCGGGGTTAGCACAGGCCTGGGAGAATGAGAAGGATGTGAGAAAGGGATCGAGGAAGAGGAAGTGTTTGCTTCAGTGGAAGGACCCTACCAAGGTTGGTCTGATAGGGTTCAACAGCTTGAAGGAAAACTGGAAGGTTATTCTTCATTTGATCAATATTTACTGTCCCGACTCGCCGCCGAGCAAGACAGTTCCAGTCGACGACGTGAAGCCCGAGGCTGCTTGGGTGCACACATCGGGCTTGTTCTTTGCTGATTCGGGTGAAGTATTGCCGTGGAACATTGCAGCACCCTCATAACCCCTGAACTTTCTAGGTTCAGAAGTTCTACGAGGAGATTGAAGTGACCCCCAAATCGGGCCTTGTTCACTGTGAGAGCCATTCGCTGAAGATGTTCCTTACCTTTATGAACCGCCGGCATGATGGCAGCACCCGCAAGGATTCTTTTCTGCATTGTACAGCACTGAATGAAGCTTTGTATGGTGCATTAGACCCGAACCAAAGTCGACTTATCACTTCTCAGGACAATCGCCTCCGAGCACTGTTCGACGAGCTCACGAAGTATTGGCCGCCTAAGCCCCGAATTAAGAAAAACTTGGTTCCGGATGAAGAGGAAGCTTCGGACGATGATGCAGAAGCTGATGTAGAGGCACAGGTTTGGGTTTGGTAGGTGGGATGAGGAAGTCAGGTGCTGGGTTTCCGCAGAGAATATGAAAGGGATTCTAGTGCTTGGGTTTAGGTCAAGGGTTTTAGGGTCGGGGGTTGGGCAGGGCTTGGGATTCGGATTCTTTGATGAAGAAGTTTGTGGGGTGAGGGGGTCAGGTTCTGGACTGGATTTCTGCAGCAAATAAAGTGACAGGGTTTTCTAGTGTTTAGGTTTAGGTAAAGGGTTTAGGGTTGGGGGTTGGGGAGGGCTTGGGATTCGGTTATTAATGAAGACAGAAATTATTAGCTAGACAGGACAAGCTCGAGGCACAGAATGTTCACGCATACGGCTTTGGTTTCGCGATCATTTCGGGTGCAACAGTTAAGCAAGTTCATTAAGGGGTTAGGGGTGTACTATTCTTTAGGAGTTTTGTGTTCTGGAGAAGGGTGAGGAGCTGAACGAGATATCGATAGGGACCGGGAGGGCTTCACGCATAGGGTTTCAGGGTCTAGAGTAGAGGGTATTCTGAGGTTGGGTTTTATGTTCAGGAGGATGAAGACGAAGATGCGATGACCGAGCCGGATGAAGATGAGGATCGGCTGCAGCCGGTTGATCCTTATCTGGCTGAGGACTTGGGTGTCAACTCACCCGAGCCTGCATCTGCTTATGTGGGCACTGTTGCTTATGACTTGAATGAGAATGGATTGCCCGAGCCCTTCAACCTGCAAGCTACGCATAACGAGCCAAGCAGCTCCTCGAACCCCCAAGTCGACTTGCTGAAACAGCTGGCTGAGATTGAGCATCTTGTCGTAATACATCAGAGTGTCTATAGGAGCACACATGTGCATTGATGTTGTTGTCTTTCAAATCGATCTATGATTTGCCCAGCGAATTATGCCAAGCAGCCGAGTCAAAGACTGGCCCATCGCAGAGCTGCCTTGAACGGCCAGCTGACTGTGCAGCGATGGAACAGTGCCTCAGTTGCAGAGTTCTCTTATCATGACTCATGGTTCATAAAGACCCAAGCACAGGCAATATTCAATCAGCTTAGGTGTTGCTCATATGGACACGCAGCAGACGATAGAGTGGAATCGGCATCCTGATGAAAGTTTCGATGCACAGGCAGACCCAGCCCCACAGGAGCTGCAGGACATCGCAGATGCAAAGCCGGGTTTGCAGAGACTGAATGCAGCCAGCCGCTTGCCGGAGAGCGAGCATGCACACGGGGCCATTGCCTCGGATGAGGCCAGTGCCCCCGCCGAGACCCCGAGTGATGCCGAAGCCGTGCAGACCACGAGCGATCCCCTAGCCAAGGATATCCCGATCAATACCCGAGCCACCGAGACCCCGAATGATGCCGTAGCCCTAGCTGCCCCGATCTCGAATGAGGCCCTGGATGTTGCAACAGATGCACCTGCAGCTCCCGCCGTTGACTCCGCTGAAGCAAGAAGCCCCGAACCTTTGAAGGATGTTCCAGACCTCGCCAAGGATTCCCCTAAGACAGGAGGCTCCAGGAAGGCCGCCACCGTGCCCAGCGAAGTCGGGTCGCCTGATCTTCTGGAGTGCAAGGTGGCTTCGACCTTCTATCTTATGCCCAAATTACAAAAATCCAGCTAAAGCTTCACCTAAACCCTAAACCCTACACCCCCACGTGTCAGCGCCGAAACCCTAGCCCTAAACCCTAAACCCTGAAAGTAGTTTTAAGGCCTCTGAAGTTTCAAATCCCATAATTGCATATCACCAACCCGTAAAACAATTTCTTGAGATAAGAACCTAAGAATAGTGTAGCCTCAGTTTTTGTCATCAGCTCGCATAGATTGTCAGTTTGTACACTCGACCAGGAAATCACGTCGAGGCAGGCACAAACGGAGCTTAAGGGTGAGCTCGCACCGCCCAAGCCGAAGGGCAAAGCAAAGGCGAAAGGAAAGGCGAAAGCACAGCCGAAAGGAAAGGCGAAAGCAAAGGCGAAAGCACAGCCGAAAGGAAAGGCGAAAGCGAAAGCACAGCCGAAAGGAAAGGCGAAAGCCAAGGCGAAAGCGACAGCCAAGCCGGCGAGTGGCGAGGCTGACGAGGACAAGGAGAGCAAGAAGCGACCCGATGCCGATATTGCCGAGGCTCCGGTTCCAAAGAAAAAAGGCAGACCCTCCAAGGCCGACAAGGATGCAATGAAGACCTCGCCGCCACCCGCCGATAAGCCCAAAAAGCGAGGAAAGCAGTCAGTGGAGGATGCCGAGGATTGCGAGGAAGCGGGTAAATGCAAGAAGCCGAAAAAGGATGCTGAGCCGGCGAAGAAAGGCAAGGGCAAAGGGAAAGGCAAGGGCCAGCAAGCCCACGAAGATCGGCTCACGTTTGCCAGGCGATGGCAACCTCCGAACGAGCCCAGTCGCTCGATTTGGCAGGTGATTAAAACGAGCTTCGACAAGAACATCGCCCACAAAGTTTGCAAGCCTTCGGCTTTGGAGGACTGCTCCTGGCTGCTGGGGATGCCGTGTGTTGCCGACAACAATACAAGCCACCACCACCACCACCACCACCACCACCACCACCACCACCACCGCCACCGCCAGCACCACCACCACCACCACCACCACCACCACCACCACCACCATCACCACCACCACGACCACTGCCAGTAGAAAGCGGTTTTGCAACATATCAGTGTTGGAGGAGTTGCTGCACTTCAAGATCCGGTATTGGTAGTCGTCGTTGTAGTAGCAGCTATCGCAGTATGATATTGTAGTTGTAGTAGGAGTAGTAGTAGTAGTAGTAGTAGTAGTAGTAGTAGTAGTAGTAGTAGTAGTAGTAGTAGTAGTAGTAGTAGTAGTAGTAGTAGTAACTTAGTAGTAGTAGTTGTAGTTGTAGTTGTAGTTGTTGTTGTTCATGGGGTGCACAAACAGTAGTAGAGCATAGGTTGTAAGGTCATTGATTTCGGCTTCAGGGGCTTTAAACCTTAGGGTGTATAGGTATGTCTTGTAGTGTTGCCCAAACCAGAAACCTCCTCACCCCCTAAACTTTTGTCGATGCTACAACCAGCCAAGCTTGAAGGTAGCTTCAGCCCGGGGTTCGAGTGTCCATCGTAAACGATCTGCCTGTGCAGTACCCCTTCTACAGCCTGTGCCGCCCTCAACTCTTGGAAGCCGAGCTTGACAACTACACTTCCATCGCCCATGCCTGTGCTATGGAATGGCTGGAAGACCCTGGAAACCAGGGAGCCCCGACTACAATTGTCACGCAACCCTAAACCCTAAACCCACATCCCTAAGCCCTGAACCCTAAACCCTATCTATAAGCCTTACCCTACGAGTCTCTCCATGAGGCTATCTTGTCTGAGTATGCCAAGAAGCATGCACGCATCGTCCTGGCCGAAGTGTCTTGGCAACAGAAGTCCCTACACTCATTCGGGCACCCCACAAAACACGATGGCGACTATTTAATCAGTAGCTCCACTCAGGTTATCCTCATTCACTTTGACACTGATCGTGCTTTGGCACGGTTCTGTGCTGACCACAGAAGTGCCCCGACTGAAACGAGAGCACTGTCCCTTCGGTAAGACAGCAATTAAGCACAACTGCTCCTCCGCCCAGGATATCTTTGGAGACGGTGACAATGTCTGGCACGGCCGAAGGGTCCTTCGGTTGCATTGAACAGGTCGTGGTTGTGCTGGTGCTGTGGCATATCTAGAAATCAACTACACCCCACCCACCCGAGGCTGTGGTTGCTGAGCTGCCGTACGAGCAGTCCTGAAAGATCCTGAGTCGCCTATGGCTTGGGCTTTTGAAAGATCCTGAGTCGCCTATGGCTTGGGCTTTTGTTCGCGAGTTCTGATGCCTGCTCTCTTTAGACACCACGAGTTAGCTTCCGAGGGGACGAGTGTGAGCTTGGTCGGACAGTTTCAAGTGAAAGAGTGCATGTATGTCCCGACAACATCTTGCAATTGTGGGTGCAACACACTGCCTCATAGAGGAAGCATGATCGTGGCACAGAGTGCAGATGTCACACAGGAAAGACGACTGACAAATCATTGTTGATGCTTGCTGCTGTGTGCTCATGACAACCAGTGGTTCTCACGCTTGCTCTCTCAAAATAAAGCTTTGCCCGCCGGGGATCCACAGGTACGATGCCGCCGACCTTCCACGGCTATCTGCAGCACGGCCTCGCCGAAGTAAGTGGAGCTGCCTCGATTCTGTTGCTGGGTTTCGGTTACTCTTAGATTAGGGCATAGGGTTGTCGGGTTGCCTGGCTTCTCCTTTGTTTGTGTTATTTACGATAGCCGACTGTGGTTTGAGTCGTCGTGGGGATCCTTGCACTTCAAGGCTGAGTGAGGTTGCCTTCATATGAATAACAAAACAATCGCTAGCGACATGGCCCTGTGCTTTGATTCGAGCCCCTAACCCTAATCCCTAAACCCGTAGCCCTAGCCCTAATTACAGTAGTGGTACTTCTGCTGCTGCTGCTACTAACACTAATACTACCACCCCCACTCCTACTTCTACTCCTGCTGCCGCTGCTGATGCTGATACTGCTTTTGCTGCTTCTTACGGCTGCTACTCCTGCTGGTACTATTACTTGTGTTGCTAGCTGCACCCGTTTATGTTTCTATGATTTAAGGAATTGTTCGCCAGACCAGAATTCCAGTGGTACTCTTTCACAACTAGTACCCTACTGCCACGTCGACGATGCCGAGGAGAGGCACCATCCTCTGCCAGTTTGGGGTTTAGAGGGCTTGCTGTGGTTATGGATTGGGGTGGGCAACTTTCTGGCTGGTGTTGCAGGGTTCATGTTTTGGGGTCTGGCCCATTCGCTCTCTTCCCAAAATAATAGGTGTTTCCTGGGATCTAGGAGGCACCCGTTGAAATGATACGTAATCTCCCCGCTTGTGCTGTGAAGCCCTACCTCTGTCTCCCTAAGCGACATAAAGATATACTATTTTACAAACAACAGAAAAAAGAGGGGCTCCAATTTTGTCTCAAACCGAGTTTGAGACAAAATTGGAGCCACTCTTTTTTGTGTTGTTTAAGTAAAATACCAAAACACATCTGGCCTGGCTAAGTGGAGCTACTACCACTTAATATATATTATATATAGCCTAAACCCTAAACCCTTTTGTCTAACCGGCTATTTCTGAGGCCTCTTCTTCATGATTTGCATAAACTTGAGAGGGTGGGCAGCCCGAATAGCAACCGAAGGTCCTGGGGTCTTACCAAGTGAGGTGCAAGCAGGCTTTTGCAATCCCATAGAGCTTTTCTTCAGGTTCCAATCACTTTTGCAAGCATTTATCGCGAAATTAGGGGTTTTGCTTGAGTTTGGGCTGACAAACCGGCGGCGGGAATACGCGGGATTGTAGCGGGAATACGCGGGATTGTAGCGGGATTACGCGGGACGGCCCCAAAGCAGCCCAGCTGCTCTCAGATGCACTTTCTGATCGCCGACTCCAGGATTGTTTTGGGCTCCAGCCACACCAGAAGTCCTCCTGGCAGAGCCATGGAGGCTGATCCCGAATGCTCGGATCTCATAGCTAAACGAGCAGCTGTGATGGTGACCTGACGGAATAATTTGTTTCTCTAGTTTGCGATCTACAAAGCTCTTTCTGAGGAGCAACTCAAGCTTGCCGGGTGGAAGCCCAAGGAGGAGCTGTTTGTTCGGGCAGCAAACTTGCTGATGACTTTCATGTTTACGTGTCTAGGCACTCTGCTGTTGCAGAAAACAGGAAGAGCCAAGTTTTCGGTCCCGGGCATCATGGCATTCCTCACAAACAGGTTCGCAAACAGGCTCGCCGGAACCCCCTGCCAGCCAATCCGTTGGTTCACCTGGAACCGCGAGCACGAAGCATGCACCAGGCTCAGGAATCCAAGACACCCAGGCTGCTACCCCAAGCCCCAAGATAACCCCGAGCACGAAGCATGCACCACTTGAAGGCTCAGAACTCCAAGACACCCAGGCTGTTACCCCAAGCCCCAAGATGGCCCCTTCCAAGGCCCCGCAGATGCCCAGCAAAGCAGAGCAGCCGCAGCAGCATCAGCAACCCGACAAAACCAAGGACCAGCAAGAGCCCCCAGCCCGTGCCCCGCAAATGCCGAGCAAAGCAAAGCACCCGGAGCAGCCGCAGCAGCAACCCAAGGAAACCAAGGACCCCGCAAACAAGCGAGGCCCATCCGACAAGAAAGCCAGGCCAAACCCAGATGAAGAAGAATATGAGGAGCCAGCAAAGGCCACCCCGCCACCCATGCAAGTCACCAAGGCGACTCTGATGAAAAGGTTGGCTCGCATATGCACCCCGAAAGCTGACGGAACCTACAAAGTGCCGATGGAGATCATCAACACCCACAAGAATCTTGAGACACGGGATGAAGTGTATCGGGCATTCGAGAAATGTGGATGTGACCCCGCACAGCTGGCTCGCTTAGGAGATCGATCAATGTAGACTGTTTGTTCGGGTGGGTCTAACTTCTTTAGCCAGGTCCTGTTCACGAAGCGAGTGAATCGGAAGTACGAAGAGATCAATGAGAAGTCGGTGGAAACCGAATACGAGTTCTTGACTGAACAGGAGATGGAGGATAAAGGCTGGTCTGAGTCGCTGAGACTATTTAACTATTTGGAGGCTTCAGGTTGCCATGCTGAGTTCATTGTGTTTTGAAATTACTTCTAATGTCAGCCCATGTCTTCAGACGAGGAAAAAGATCAAAGGGGCCAAGAAAAGCTGTGAGCGACGTCCTGGCTACAAGAGGAGATGCTAGCTTGTTCCGCATGATATGCATGTCGTGTCGCATATGTGTGCTGACCTTGTCAAAAGGAAGTCCGAGTACTGTGACGAATGGATGTACTGGGTGGCCGTGAAGGTAAAGGGGTCGAACAAGTTCCGTGGCTATAAAGTATGTTTTGCAGCACACTTTCGTTGCTACTGTGTTCGTCCGAAAATCCAAACCCCCGCCCAGGAAGACCAAACGCAACACCGTCGCCGAGATCCTGGAAGGCGGCGACAACGAGCCGATGGAGGACCCAGACGAAGCCATGCAGGATTTCCCCTTTGCCTTGGAGGGAGATGGGGAGGCCGCCAAGGAGGAAGGCCATATTATGCATGTGCGATTAAACCCCCAAGCCCCTATAAGCCCTGAACCCGTAGACGGTAAACCCGAAGCCCCAAAACCTCGAAAGCTTAAGCCTCGCTTAGCTGAAGCACCTTTTTTTGGGACGTGTGCGAAACCAAAACATCAGGAGCCATAGTGTCTCGCGATTTGCATGTGTGACTAGTAAACCGAAAGCCCAAAACCTGAATTCGACACAGGTCTGATGGTGAGCTTTGGGGCAGGGTCTCAGGTGCACTTCTGTACGGGGTTGCAGTCTGGGTCAAGTGGTATACCTATATATAATATATCCCCTATCACTAGGTTTAGTTTTGGGGTGGGCCAGGATTCAAGGTTGGCAGTACCAAGCAATGAAGCCGTGTGTTCAGCTGCTGCTTCACCGAGCAGCTCAACCCTAACAGCCACAACCCCTAACACCCTAAACCACCCTAAAAGCTTTAAGCTCTAAACTAATAAGTATGTGGCCCTGAGAGCCTGCAGCATGCAAGGCGAGGCAGCAAGCACTTCAAAGACCTTCGTACCGTGCATTAATCCAAAACCCCAAACCACAACCCTGAACCTTAAAGCTATAACCCTACAAACCCTAAACCCATAAAGCTCCGGGAAAAAACGCAGGCATCCCAAAGGTTTTCGTACCATGAACCCAAAACCATAACCCTGAACCCTAAGGCCGTATCCCTACAAACGCTGAAACCATAAAGTTCTAGGAAACAACAAGCATGCAAAGGCCTTCGTATCATAAACCCTAAACCCCAAAACCGTAACCCTAAACCCTATGAAGCTATGACCCCTTAAACCCTGAAACCATAGAGCTCTGGGAAGACAGCAAGCATCCCAAAAGCCTTCGTGCCATCAACCCTAAACCCCAAAATGATAACCCTAAACCCTAAAGCTGCAACCCTGTAAGCCCCCGATCAAGTGCAGCCAGGTGATGGGGAGAAAAGCTCCGATGACAGCAGCGACGACGGAGAAGAGGCCGCCCGGGTGCTCAAAAAAATCAGCTTCCCGGAGCTGACGAAGAAACCTCAGGACTGTTGCTCCCTAGTGTCTGCCTGCCTTCAAAAACGGGTTATGCGAATCGAGCCGATCGTGCTAAAGTTGGGGGAGATCAAAGATGCCAACAAGGCCCACCAAAAGATCCTTGGCTAATAATTCGCTCGCTACGGGTCAACCGAGTTCCAATTCTACGTCTTCCTAACACAAAGCCTCCTCCTAGCTGAGGTATAAAGCCAGCCTCGAGAGCATGATCACCAGGGTGAACGAGTTGGACGATAAGATGATGGCCCTCTACAGCCAGGGTGTGGCTGCTGGGTTCACAAAAGTGAGCCTCGACAGGGAATACTGTCCTGTAGATTTGGGTGGGATAGATCGATGCATAGATAGTTGCATACATAGACTATGTAGGTAGGTAGGTTGATTGGCTGTCTGGGAAGTAAAACACTGTAGAGTTCTAATATTATGTTACACATAGACAAATCGTAGATAGATCGATACATCGTACTCTCGGGGTATGATGCTCAAAACCTTATCGGCAACCCTAGAATCAGCCCGCAAATCTTGCCCAGGGACCAGAAGAGCCTCCGCACGTTTTTCCAGGAAGCGAAGAGGGTGCAACTCGGTTCGCAAATCACCGTAGGTATTGCAGCTTGACTACTTGACTTTTTGTGGGGGTTAACAATACCGAGGGCCGTGGAGGCAGAGTTGCTGTTCGATCGCTCGAAGTCCTACAAGCTGCTTGCCTTACTGGCTTCGTGCATGTGTTGTGGTGCATGCCTGCTGTTATTCTCGAATTCTGCATTGCACATACTGCACCAAGGTTGCCTGCCGCAAAGATGGAAAAGGCTGAAGCGCCGAAAGTGAAAGCCAAGCCTAAAAGTAAGCAGGGTGCAAAGGCGAAGGCAGCAAAGCAGGAAGAGGAGGATGACGAGGAGCAGCAAAAGCCGGCCAAAAGGGCCAAGAAGTAAAGGCTAGCTGCATGCAGCCAGATGCACACCCCAGTCGCAGTATCGATCCCAACCGTGCTAACCTAAGTAATATCGGAGCTGCTGGGCTGTGTGGGTATGATTTTACAAAGTGGCTTGGAATAGCTGCTGCACCGTGCTGGATCGCCGGCCTGCGATCGTGCCAAACTGTTGTCTCTGTGCACACTGGGGGCAGAGGGTTTAGGGTTTAAGGGTTTATGTTTTAGGTGTGTGTGTGTGTGTGGGTTTGTTTTTGTGTAGGGTCTTGGGCCAAGTGTTTCGTGGTGCAGGCTCGAATTTGAGGCTTGGGTTGCATAGGTTTTTAAGTGCTTTTGTGCTTAAGATTCACGCCGTGCCCTACACCCTAAACCCTAAGTGAAGCTTTGACTGAATAGCCAACCTGAGCAAAGCCTTCAACAAAACCTTCCCGAAGCCCAGAAAACTAGGGTTCGGGGTTCAGGGTTTACGGTTAAGGGTTTTAGGTTTCAGGGTTTAGGGGGGCTGAGGTTCGCGAGCTTTCTGCAGTCAACAAATCACAAAACACCAACGCATTTGCTTCTATTGATCTAGTGCTAGACTACTCCTCTTTTCACAAACCCGTTCACTTCCCAGCCCTTTGCTCAAAGCCCTCGTACCCAAAGCCAGCATACCTCCCTATCAAGCCAGGTTCTTCAGAGGATGAGCCGGGCCACGACGGCCGGGTGCAGCTGTATGCAGAGATGCTGGGAGATGGTGCAGCTTCCTCGGTGCGAAATGCATTTAGGACTGTAATCGGGTCTGGGATTGGGCTCGGCCCTGTTCGCTACGAAAGCAGCACTTGAGATTCGATTGAAAGGAGTACCCTATCCCGCTAGTCGCAAACCCTAGCCAAGACTAAGCGACTATTGAATACCTTTAAAACACAAAGGATTAGCTGACTGAGAATCTTTTGCTTGGGGGCTTGGGTCTATTATCAGGACTCGGGCAACAACCCAGTTCTCCGAATCTCTGCCGACAGCAATATGAAACGGTATTCTGCTGCCCCAGCATCCGTAGAAGACACCCCTTGAAAGCAAACACCGAACCCTGAGAAATCAGAAGACCCCGCTCACTCTCTCTCACTCTCTCTCTCGCTCTCTCTCTCTCTCTCTCCTTCGCCTTCGCCTTCTTCTGGTTCTTCGCCTTCTCCTCTTCCTTCTCTCTTTCACTCCGCACCCTCTCACTCTCTCACTCCTCTCTCTCTCTCTCTCTCTTTCTCTCCCTCCCTCTCTCTCTCTCTCTCTCTCTCTCTCTCTCTCTCTCTCTCTCTCTCTCTCTCTCCTCTCTCCTCTCTCTCTCTCTCTCTCTCTCTCTCTCTCTCTCTCTCTCTCTCTCTCTCTCTCTCTCTCTCTCTCTCTCTCTCTCTCTCTCTCTCTCTCTCTCTCTCCGGGACAAGTTCCAGCCCGCCCAGGCCACAGCGATAGACACGAAAAGGTGTCTCAAGGAGATGGCGAACCCTGGTCTGCCGGAGAGCGAAAAACGAGAAGTGAGCAATGCTGAACGGGATTGCCATGCTAAGTTCAACAGAATGGGTCTATCTTTGCCAGTACCGATACAGACCCACGACCACTGTGTAGAGAATGAAGAAATCATTTCTACATCATATGTGCTGGTGTCTAGCTGGCTACGATACCTCGTTCGGCAAATGCCTTGCTTGCTGGCTGGTGGGCGGAACACACTAGAGGTTCAACTCGAAGCTTTCTGGAAGATGTATCAGAACCACCACCCCGAGCACGCCATCTTCAGTGCAGAGCATATCACTCCTGCTACTGCTATTCCCCTGTGCCTGTTTTCAGATGAAGGGAAAGGCCCCAAGAGGGGCAATTATTTGATGACATGTATGGAATCACCAATTGGTTTGTCAGAGATGCCAGAAGACTTCGCTTGTTCTTGCTCTTCACACGTGTCGCACACGCCGTCTCAGTTCGTGCCTGGCTGTGATACCGTGACCGAAATGTGCGATGCCGCCAAAGAGGCTGCAAAGCAAACTACGAATCTTCAAGGGGCTTCCTTCTTGACAAGGCATTATCTGTTTGGGCTGCCAGATTGGGTATACAAGCATCATGATTCGGTGCTACAGAAAATGATGGAGCTCGTGGCCGAAGATATGTCCAAGCTGTTTACACAGGGAGCAATGATCGCCGGCAAAAGGTACTTTGCAATCCTGACTGGCCTGAAAGGCGATTTCAAGCACATGGCCGAGAAATATGGCGAGCTGACACGTTCTTATTCCCATCTGGGGAAAGTGAATTATTTGGGGATGTGTTCCCATTGCCTGGCCGGCACCAGGCCGGACTTGCCATGGGACCAGGCAACCCACGATCCAGCTTGGGCTGGCTCTGAGTTTGCTTCGAGACCCTGGGACGAGCCGCCAGTGTTTTGCTCCATACCATTCGACTCTGCCAAGCCAGAGGCTGCCCTCAAATTGGATGCCTTTCATCTGTTTAAAGTTGGACTTGGAAGGGATCTTGTTGGGACAATTGTTCTGTTTGCACGCTTGGGCTTTTACGACTTTTCGCCGGGGGAATCTACGGAACTCAAGCAGCGACTGAACCGTGCCTGGAAACATTTTATGCTTTGGCGGGTGACAGCGAAGCAGACGGTGGCTTGCAAGTACTTTTCCCCGGCCCTGTTCAACATCAAGAGGCAGAGCGACTACGCTTGGGCAAATGTCAAGGGCTCCGATACGATGGTTTTTATGCGATACATCCGTTGGTATGCAGGCTTGCTTGTGGCTACCAGGACTCTGCACGATCCACATCGACGTCTTCTTGTATTGCTCAACAAGACCATTATGCATGCACAGGAAGCTATGCACATAATGTATACCCACGGCCTCTGGTTGGCACGGAAGTGCGGTCAAAGCCTTTATGTTCACTTGATGAGTATGTTATCAGGGTATCAAACTTTGGCGGCTCGTTGCCTCACCATGGACCTCACATTTTATGGGTTAAAGCCGAAGTTTCATGGGCTTCATCATTTAGCCTATGATTTGAAGAAGGCACTCAAGACTTCTACACCGCTGGTTTTAAATCCGATATGCTGGGGCAATGAGATGAACGAGGATGCCATCGGAAAGGTATGTTCATTGACATTGAAAGTATCTGTCCGCACTCTGACTCGCCGAGTTATTCAAAGGCACTTTCTCAAGAAATCGGCTGTTATTCGTCGACACAGACAGGAACGAAGCAAGAAGGGTCTGTGAGCAAAAGTGGGTTGGGCTTCTGGTTGCTCTCCTCTCCCCTTGCCTTTCTGACCCTTTAGAAATACTGTAAATCCCAGGGGCGACTTCCAAGCCAATCGAGCAATGGTGCCATTGCAGAACCAGCTTGGGCTTGCTTAATTTCTTAAAGGCGGGGGTGTGGCTTCAGAGCTTCAGTGTTCGAGTTTGGATTTTGAAGGAGTTCCACGAGCCAAAGTGATTTCAGAAGCACCTCAATAACCTTGCTTACAAGTCCTAAACCCCGAGATTCCCAGGCCTTCCCTAATCCCTTCACCCTTAAGTCTTACATCCACCCCACCAGTATCGAACACCCTCTTGACTTTGGCTCCGAAGCCTAAACCTTACACCCCTAAGTCCTACTTCCACCCCGCCCGAATCGAACATCTTCTTAACTATGCACATCCCAGAGACTCTGAACCTGCACACTCTGAAGCCTGCCCTAAACCTTACACCCCTAAGTTCTAAATCCACCCTAGCAGTATCGAAGACCTATCAAGGTTATGCCAAAGATGATGCTGATGTTCATGTTGGTGGCCATGATGGTGTAAGTGAAGATGATATTATACATGTTGATGGCTCATGGTGATTTCGTTTTCGATGCCAAGGAAATATTCAATAGTAAAGCATAATAGGTCCCGACAAATTATCACCTGAAAGCAACCTTAACACCCCAGATCAGTTCAAGCCCAACCAGTGTGCGGCTACTTTGTCTTTTCTGTTGCCGTTTTGCTTTTATGTTGCTGTTATGTTTATCAGTTGCTGAAATTTCAGCCGCTTCAGGAAGTGGCCGAAATTACGGCCGCAGGGTTGTATAGGTATGTATATAGATACACATATGCAGATTGTACGTATAGGTATAGCTAAACACTTACCTCACACATTACACAAGCATAGATCTATACACATACATATGGGTGGTTATCAAAACCATGGTCCCTTTTGGATCCTTATTATAGTACGGCACCTAGTATTTCGGGTACCAAAAAGGGACCCTAATTTTGACAACTACCCACATATGTACACATATTCAAGAGCCGATTCTAATGACTAAGAGCCAAGTTCGGATCGGGCCTCGATGCATTCCGAGTTTAGGGCTTATACCCCAGAGGGTCCATATACACTACTATGGAAGTAGGTCCCCAAAGACCATCCTCATTATGGTTTTAGGGGACCTAATTCCATAATAATAGTGTATATGGACCCTCTGGGGTACAGGGGCCTTAACAATTAAAATGGGGTATTGGGCCCTTTACACTGTAGCTGTAAATAAGGAACCCAGAAAATGGTATAGGTAACTATCAAGGCCCCTATACTATAAGCAAGAGACGGGGTCTCCGGTTTGAAGAGGGTTCAGGGTTTAGGGGCTCAGGGGTTTAGAGGCTTAGGGAAGAGGGTTTAGCGTTTAGGGGTTTAGGGTTTATGGCTTAGAAGTTTAGAGGTTTAGGGTTTATAGGGTCTATTTTGGGGCTTAGGGCCTTTAGGGGTCGAGGGTTAGGGGCTTCATCCAGTCCCGGCTACATCTTCTTTCAAAGGATCCGAGGTACTGTTATGAGGTACACTTCCCTATATCATCATTTAAGAGTAATTCCGATTATAGAAACCCTAAAAATTCTACAATATAGGTACTGGGTCTGGGTTTCTGAACGATGGCAGCGTGTTAGAACTGCAACCCTTCTAGTTGTTCTTTGTTTTTGAGATTCCCATAAGGACCCAGAGGGTCCATATACACTACTACTATGGTGGAATTAGGTCCCCCAAAACCAAAATGAGGATGGGCTTTGGGGGCCTGATTCCATAATAGGAGGCCCTGGGGGTTAGGGTTTAGGGTCTAGGGGTTGGTTTAGGGTTTACGGGAGCCCAAAATACAAGGCCTCTCCGTTTGTGACAAACTCGCCGCACGGGGCTTTGAATCCATCACCGACTCAGATTCACTCCTTTTGTGGCAGGTCGGTACCCTTTGTGACCACCGACCAGCAAAATGCCCTCTTTGTGCACTGGATATCTCAGCATCTCATGCGTCTGTTAGCACAGTAGAAGGGTAGAGCATCGAGCTCATATCGTTCAAGTTGTTGTAGATCATGTTTGGTTTCCTTCAAATACGATCAGGTTGCAGAACCCTTAAACAGAATACTTACCCCCAAAAAGGCTCTACTTGTCTGGTCCGGCTAGAAGTTAGGGATCGCTGGGTCTACATCTAGGATGCCCAGTAACCTAGGAATAGAAAGGGCTCCCTTTTTGGTACTGGGTAACTTTATATAGGGAACCTAGGACTACGAAAAGGGAATAAGGGCACTACTGGGCATCCTAGACATAATAGAAGTACGCAGAAAATGCGTTGTCTTCGGCATGGGTCGGCGACGTTGGGGGATGGGGTGAAAGGTCGATGATACCGTGATTATGCAGGTCCTAGCTTAGCTTACCCCCCCCCAATCCCAAACCCTGTATTCCCAAACCCTAACCTTGGAATCCCAAGCCATGTAACCCTGTGGCAACCATGCAATTCTATGGCCCAGGAACTCCTAAACTGGACAGCCCTTACCCCACAACCCTACACGGTAACCCTCGATCTAGCCTTAAACCCAGTAACCTCTGAGCGGTTTAGGGTTAGGCTAACTTTACTTACATACAACCCTGCAGCCGCAAGCCCTCCAGTGCTGGTACCGGGCCCTGTGCCTGTCGCCACCCGCGCTGTAGGGCACGTAGACCCGGATGAGGACGTCCGACAATGGCTGGCAAAAGCAGGGCAACTAATCTGTACAGACATGAACAAAAAGATGCGAGATACGTGCATGTATGTACATATACACACGAATATCGACAACTGCAAATACACGTGCAAGCATAAAAATACATACAGCGATGACCGAATAAGGCAAATGAATCCATCAGTTCATCCATCCGTCCACCAGTTAACATATCATTAGTTTTCGTTCATCAACGAAGTTAATCATTAACTTAGTCGCTGAGTTCGTAAGCCACAAAAAGTGTACACTTTCAGTTTTATAGTGGGTCAGATTATCCCAAAAGGTGTAAAGTGTATCCACTCAGCTACAAAGTTAAAAGCGCACATATATAGTTATATACATGTACACAAGTTTGGTATTGGTTTATACTTTCGTCGATTGCTGAACAACACACTAAGGCTCAAAATGGCCCAAAAGCCTTGTATAATATGGTCTTTAGGCACAAAAGCCTTAAAATATGAGTCCTTAGAGCCTTAGGGATAGAGTCTCATAGAGTCTCATAGAGTCTCAGCACGAGACCCGTCTAGGGCTTCAAGGTTGTGGTGCTCAGAGCCAACAATCTACTTGGAGGGTCGGGGTTCCTTAAGGGCCCCGTTAAAGGGATCCATAGGGATTCTATAAGGGTATAGGGTTTAGGGTTTAGGGGGACTTAGTAACTGGTTATTTTAGGGACTCATAAGCACAAGAACCCCAATTAGGGTCCCTTTTAGGGTACTTAGAAGTCTACTTACTACTTACTTACTAAGCCCCCCGACCCTCCAAGTAGCGGCCGAGAAGTCAAGGCACGTGATGGATGTCTCGTGGGTACTGCCCGGATACAGTGACAGTCTATGGTAGGACTACAACTCATGGCCTTATGTACCGATGTTATGAATATTATTCAACTGTTTTCTGAGTAATTAGCCAAGACTTTCTCGGGTGTAAGGCTTCGCACCTCGACGCTTTCGCACGCTAGTGTCTGCTTCAATTGTGGTATGTCGAGCCGTGGAGCAGCAAACTTATCTGAACAACCTCGAAATCGACCTAAACCCTTTAATCCAGCATGTAAGCCCGAAGCCCTAAACCGCAAAGCCCTTCAACACGCAAAAATGCTAGACACCCTGAACTCCTGAACTCCTCAAACCCCACAGATCATCCCTAAAGCACAAAGTTTCATAAACTCCAAAGCATGCGTCAGTCTTGCAAAATCTATATAGACCCTAAACTCTCAATCGCATGCCCCTGAGCGCACGACCTGCATAAAATATACAACTCTAAACTCCCAAGCTCTAAACCTTACAAGTCCGAAACGCTTTATCTGCATCTCCCATATTGGAGAACACTAAACACTACGCTCTAAACCCTTCAAACCGGGAACTCCCGTACCTCTAAACTCTACATACAGGGGCCTTGACAATTCGAGTTCGTCTTTGGCAGTCTATTGTACCATAATTCTCAGGGAACTATAAGCCGATACAATTAGTAGCTCTTCGACTCCATTTTTGAACTCCTAACCTCATGAACATTAAACCGTAAACCCTAGACCCTCGAATTTGTGACAAAGCCTGGAGATGGCACATGGGTGGTTGTCAAAATTAGGGTCCCTTTTTGGGTACCCTAAATATTAGGTGCCGTATTCTAATAGGGACCCAAAAAGGGACCTTAATTTTGACAACCACCCATATGAGCAAGCCGATGATTGCTTTATAGTAGAAGCCTAAAAGTTGGAAACCCAATAGCCTCAATCCTTAAGAGACCAAGACAAGGAATGCCAGCAGTAACTGTCCTTACTCCGCTTTCCAACTTTTAGGGTTTACTGTTGTTCTAGGCTTGAAGAAGGCTGTGCAAGGGGTCTGTTTTGAAATTATTTGGTAGATTTTCAAGGATTTTGTAGAATGTCAGATACCTGACGCATACGGGGGAGTTTCCTAAACCAGCAGACCCTAATCTAGTACCCTAAATGGTAGGATCCTCATAATAAGGAGCCCCAAATAAGGTACCCCTAATTTTTAGAAACTCCCACCTGGACCCTTCGGGTAGTTAAGCTCAAGTTTCGGCTCTAGCCCTTGCCCCGGTCGAGTTTAATGTACTTGGAAGGGCAGGGGACTTAGTAAGTAGGTTATAAGTAGAGTTATATGTACCCTAAATAGAGTTACCCCAATTATAACCCTACTTATATCCTACTTACTAAGTCCCCTGCCCTTCCAAGTAAGAACCTGATTAAGAAACCTTGGGCCTTTATTAGGGTTACCTTATAAGAATCCTACTCTTTTGGGATTATAGGCCCCTGTTTAGGGCTTTACTCCTTCGGAAGGTTTGGGTATAGAAATCGAAGGAGTCTTTATCCGAAACTTTTCATAAATCACATAAGCCGTCAACGAAACCCTTAAACCCCAATCCCATACAAACCTTCATACGAAACCGTAAACGGGCACGCTAATAGGACCCTTGAAGAAGCCCTTAAAGGAACGTAAACAGAACCCTTCAAGGAGCCCCTTAAGGCCCTAAACCCTAAACCCAAAGCCCTTAAGGAATCCTCGAAGGGCTCCTTCAAGGTGTCCTTGATGGGGTCCTTGAAAACTCCTTTAAGGCGTCCTTGAAAGGGCTCCTGTAAGGAGCCCTTTAAGGGAGTAAGCCGTTACTTGGAGGGTCGGGGGACTTAGTAAGTAGGTAAGTAGACTTATGGTACTGATAAGTCCCTAAAAACAACCAGTTACTGAGTCTCCCTAAACCCTAAACCCTGTACCATAATTATAGAATTCCTATATATAGATCCCTTTAAAGGGGCCCTTAAGGAACCCCTTATGGTCACTAAGTCCCCCCCGACCCTCCAAGTACCCTCCAAGCTCACGCGGCCTGCTGCGTCCTGGCATCTTGTACCTGCACTGACCCGAGGGCTTCGGCGTGCCCAGAAACTCCAAAACCCCTTAATTAAGGAGTATACCTTTAATTATAATGGTAGGACTTAAGGGCATACTCCTGAAATTAAGGGGTATTGGAGTCTCTGGGTTACCCGGGTTCAGTGTTTTTGGGTTTAGGGTTTAGAGCTTAGGGTTTAGGGTTTTTAGGGTTTAGGGTTTAGAGCTTAGGTTTAGGGTTTAGGGCTTAGGGCCCGTTGCAGGATCTGAGTTGTAGGGTGCCCTGTGGCGAGGTCTGAACAGACACATTGGCATAGGGTTTCGGGTAAGGGTTTAGGGGAGTCTAAGCTTTTTCGGAAGGGCAGTTGAAACGAAGGTCTCGGGGTTTTGGGCTGTAGGCGGCATGCAAGCAAGGTGCCCTGCGCGAGCCACGATCCCAACACTGATAGAGAGTCTGTAGGCAACAACAGCCGCAAACGCTAACCCTAACTCAAAACACCCCAGAGTTTATGACGCTAAAAGTCCGAAGCAGGGTGGACCAATGGAGCCTCAATAGCCCAGCACACAGCAGTTTTTCTGGATTCCCTGGCACTAAACCCGAATACACCGAAGGTGTTGGGTACTTCAACCCTAAACCCTCAGACCCCTAAACTCTGAAACCCTAAACCCAGTCCCAAAAGCCTAAACCCCTAAACCCCAAAGCCTAACCCCAAGGGTCCAAGTACCCAAGAATCATATACTCTCCCAAATTCTAACCTACATAACTACCATCCTAGAACCGAGTACCTAATTATTCGGCCCTTCGGACCCTTGGGGTAACGGCCTAGGTCAAACCGAAGTTTCCGTCAACCAAGTCAACTCAGCTAGGCCTGGATTCGCATCGGAGGTAAGCACTGAGGCCTGCTTAGGGTTTAGGGTCCACAGGGTTCCTTAAAGGGTTCCTTAATAGGCTACTTAACGGGTTCAAAAAGGGATCCATAGCGATTTAGGGTTCAGGTTTCGGGGATCAGGGTTTAGGGCTCAGCCTTCAGGATTATCGGGCTTGCCTATAGTCGCCTTTGTAGTTCCTTTTTTGCTTAACCAGTTTTATGGTTAGGATGCTATAATAAAGACCTTGGTTAACGAAACAAAGGAACTGCAATGGAGACTATAGGTAGTGTTTAGGAGCGAAGGTATAGGGCTTTCGTTGTGCGAGGCGGAAACTTTTGCCAAGTGGCCAAGTGCTACGGCTTCACGCAGGGCTCCTGTGCTAGTCAAGGAAAATGATCCTTACCTGAACCCTTAACCCTTCGGGGCAACATTGCCGAAATCCATCATGTCTCAAGTCTAGCACGGCCCACCCAAACACCCTCCCGAGAATACGAGTGAATTGGAGCCTTAGTGCTGGGACTTCTCACTTGGGACACTGGCTGGGCGTCTTCTAATTATGCCGGACAAAGAGCAATGCGAAACAGGAGTTTCAGAGTTTAGGGCTTGGGGAAGTACTTGAAAGGCCTTGCCTGACGGTGGTGAATTTCAACTGGCGAGACGTGATAAGCCCCTCCTGGACCGTACAAAACCTTCTTTTCCGGTCTTTACATCGTCCTGAAAGAGGTTGTCTCTTCCGGAGATAAACAGTTAAGCCCGACTGCATCAAGTGATACCAAACAAGCTGTCCAAAAGCCCAAACGACGACCTGCCAATATTGCGGTTCCCCTCTGAACTTCAAAGGTGTGACTTCATCGTGTGCGCTGACTTGCGGTCATGCTCTCCTTTGCTTCTGTTATCCTACCCCCAAGGGTCCAAAGGACCCAATAATTAGGTACTCGGTTTTAGGATAGTAGTTACGTAGGTTAGGATTTCGGAGAGTGTATGATTATTAGGTACTTGGACCCTTGGGGTACCAATCTCAGGAAACTTATGCGAATGAGGAGTTCGGGCTTTCCAGTCTCAAATACGACCCTGCCCTGAGGCTCGATGCACCCATTATATCGTCTAAGCTTTCGCCCTGTAAGGCCCAAGAAACCCAAAGGGTTTAGGGTTTAGGGTTTAGGGTCCATGTAATGGTATAGTATATATTCTAGGGGCCAAAATACTACTCGGACACTTTGGGAAATATGTGTTGCGTATGTAATTCGGTACCCGAAACCCTAAACGTCTGAGGTCCCCGCACACCATCCGGCCCATGTCC